AACCTGTTGTCTTTGTTTCAAGAGATAAACTTTTAAAGTGCTTTAGGCACTTAATGTGTACATTAACACTAATTATAATTTAGTAACTACTATGTATTATAGAATAATTAAAACCTGCTCCACTTTTCAACCCTAATTAAGTCGACTTGATAAAATAGCAGCATGCACAAGGAAGTATCCGAAAGGGGGATAACTGGGAGAATTCGTTTCTTTAAGAGTAACATGTTTGTGTTTATTTCCTTTAAGAAAAAGTGGAGTGTTTTGGGGGAGGGATAATGACAGATACCCTCCAGATGCTGACAAAGAATGTAGCGTAGAATCGTTAAAGTAATTTTAAACTGTTTGTCCTCGTTTTAGTGTAGTGTTTTGTACAATTTTATGTCATTATTAATGTTTCCACATTCTACGCTTGCCGGATAGTTTATATTTGACGAAATGCCCCTGAAGATGCTATTTTAAGCGAAAGTACTTGGGCTAGATTTAATCAACTTGTGCTCGATAATAGCCTTATTTTTCAAAGTACCTTTATAGATATTATAGATTTTTTTAATATTTAAATTGTGGCAGGTAATCAGTTGATATCATTCGTTTTTGTGAAATAAAAAAATATCTGTAAGATAATAAAGACTAAATTTTATTCATGGTTTTTAAAAGTATTCGTCCAATATGAGCGTTAAGTGATCCTTGCGTAGGCACTTTTCAAATTGATGATCCGTTATCGGAGACATCCATCCGATTGTGAATTCTTAAAAAGGCACGTTTTGTTTTTTCGGCAAGCCGATTCCAACCGTGACTATTTACTTGTAAAAATCAACGGAATATTAGTTGATTAGCAACCAAATATACATTTCTTTCCATATGAACTTAATTACCAAGTACGGCAAATTTAAATTTGCCGATGTTTCATTTGGATTGGTGATTGGTCGCGAACTGTACATTGCGAGCGCGGGATGAAATGTTATTTCATATAAGAACGTAAGTAGTAAAGTGAAGTAATATTCAGTGCACGAACTAGCGTTTCTTTTTGTGATTTATTTTTATTTTCTAAAGTAATACTGTGATACGTTACGTCTGCCGTAAATAGTTAAAGGTTATAGAGTTTTTTGACATATTAGAAGTTTTTTTTTATTAATGTGTAAACAAATTCAGGTAAATTAACCTAAAAAATGCAAGCCATGGGAGAAACTATAAGTATTGATGAGTCTGATATTGTAAATTATATTTTGCATAATGGGTTTTCATCTATTCCAAGAACAAATTGTTTTTAAAAATAAGGGGCGTCCTTTGCCTAAAATGTCCTGGCTTATAAATATTAGTGCGAGTAAGGGAAGTAATAGATTATTTTCAGATAATTGGTACAGCAAGTACTCATGGCTTACCGGGAGTGAAATAAGAAACAAACTTTTCTGTTGGCCTTGCATTTTATTTTCGACAAATAGGGGCAAACATTAATATCCATGGTGTGAATCTGGTTAGAATAATTTAAAGGAATTATTTAGTGCTTTACATAAACATGATCTTTCCAAAAGTTCGTACTTACAGCCAGATTAAATTAAATTTATTTGGTAAATAAAATATCTATGTTTCATTAGACAATGCCCAACGTGAAAATGCTATTAAACATAACGAAATTGTAAAAAATAATCACGCAGTTTTACGTCGTTTAATTGATATTGTAATTTTTTTAAGTTGTCAGGAATTATCTTTTAGGGGACACGATCAATCGGAGCATTCATTAAATCAAGGTAAGTATAACCACTTGCCAGTTGTCAGACGCGATGGAATGTTAAATCTCGGTTAGTTTTCACTGTAGCTGATTTTCGTGAACAGCTTTTGGAAGTTTTTGATTTTATTATTGAATGTGACGATTTTGAAAGTGATGATATCTCGATCCGTAAAGCAATCGGTTTGAAAACTTTATTAAATGATTACTCTTTTAACATACTTTTATATATTTTTAAGAAAGTGTTTACCCAAACCGATTTTATATTCAATATTGTTCACAATCAGTTAACTGACATTATTCATTCCAAAAATAGAATAACAAGACTGGTGCAAAATCTCAGAGATTTTCGTAATGATAGTAATTTCCAGTATATACGCAGTGACGTTTTGGACTCGCTTGATATTTCCGAACCCCAAAAAAAGACAAAGGCATGACACAGAAACAGATATCGAAAAACGAGTATATTTTGAAATTTTGGATACTTTTATTATGCAAATAGATACTCGTTTTTCGAATTTTGAAGATTTGCAAATTTTTGACCTCTTTGACGATTCAAAATTGAAAAGTTACGCCAAAGAATTTTCAAGATATTTATTAGACAGATTAATTAAAAATTATCCATCACTCTTTAATAAAATAAAATTGGAAAATGAATTAAAAGTTTCATATGCTGATCCAAATATTTTTGGAAGATGGGATAGGTTACAAGATATGTATAATTTTATATACTGCAATTCATTACAACAAACTGTTACCGAAATTAATAAATTATTGTCATTAATTCTCTCATTACCACCAACGTGTGCCTCAAATAAACGAGATTTCTCTTGCCTCAAAAGAATCAAAGCGTATTGTCGAAATGCCATGAATCAACTGAGAATGTCAAGCTTGTCTCAAATGTCAATGGAAAAAAATTTTTAAAATCTCTTCAAAACTCTAATAAATTTTACGATGACGTTATTACCCATTTTGCTACTTCCAAACAATGTAGATTAGAGTTAATTTATAAACATGTTTAGGTTCTAAATTTATAGGAAAAAATAAAAGAAAAGAAAAAACAAGAAAACAAAAAATATCCTATGATGATTTAAGTCTTTATTAGACGGTATACCTATATGAGGAGACAAAAAAATACCTTGCCGACCTTGTCTCTCAAGCCACGAGCCGCCACTGTCACGCTTATTATTAGAATATTTATAAATAATAGATTGCTGAATATACGTTAAAAAAATAAATCCATGACAATATTTGTTGTTGTTGTTCTCTATATAATAATTTATCATCATTAGGCAATTTGTTAGAAATAATAAGAAAATTAATATTAAGTGATTTTATCGAATTTGTGAACCCCATTTCGTTTCGTAATCTTTCACAAAAATTTACCATCAAAGTTGTGATTTATTAACACATTTTCATAATGGTTTTTTCCTTTATATAATATTGCGATATCCTTTTCGCATTACTTACCCCCCAAGAAGCGCACCCTCTTTCCTTTCTGAGCTTAATAATAATTAAATAGACCTTTTAACTGGAGGGCTTTTTCTGAAATTCCTCTAATTAAAATTCAACACGAAACTTTCACGAACTTTTTCTCAAACATGTAGAAATTAAAAAAATTAGCTCAAAGGGAGTTTTCTAAACACAGCACGGGTATTTCTTTATTAATTGAGGTTCAGTAGTTTACTGTAAATGATTGGTTCAGTGTTTCCATGGCAGTAATCAATATAAACACCAGGTATGAAAATGTTTATTTTTTTTATTGGGAATAACCTGCATCAACCATAGAAGGTTATTAGCGGTGGTATAATAATAGACTATAATATATTATAATGATTATTATAACATATAAACTATAAAGTTTTTACAAAATTGATTATAATTTAGAATTTTTCTTGAAGTATCACGTATATTTGATTACCTATATAATTTCGTTTTCTTTAAAAACCTAATGATTTTGTCACAATCCCCATCCTCAAAAGCGCCCTTTATGTCAGTTGGTAGTCCAGTAGCTTGTCCATTCATTTGATATAATGGACAGTGTATAACAATGTGGCCTACAGTTATATTGGTGTCACAGACGAAGCATATTCTAGGAGTTTACTTCCTTAGTAGGTGTTCGTGCGTCAGTCCTATTCGGATATGATGTAGCACAACCTGGTCCCTTCGCTTTACTAAAATTGGTGTTTTCGCTGATAGATCTGGGTTTACTTGCCGCAATTTATGATTTTCGTACAAATGGCCATCTTCGTAACCATAAGTTTTTTGTGTACTCATTGATGCATTTTTTCATATCTGAGTGAGGAATTTGGTTAGTTTTATCATCGGATCTTTCCATTTTACAAGCACCTTTGGCCATTTGATCAGCTATCTCATTTCCTGGTATATCCACATGAGATGGTATTCACACAATATGTAGTTGTTTATGATTGTTTTTCAGAGTCACAAGGTCTTTTTTAATCTGTTCTAAAATCGGATGATTCGGATAAATTTTCTGAATTCCCTGAATTGCACTTAAGGAATCTGTAAATATTACTGTCATTTCTTCAGGTCGATTAAGAGTTTGTTGTACTGCCTTTGATATCGCAAAAAGGTCAGCAAAATATATTGAATAGTCCTTAGGTAGTGGAAACTTGAGCACAGAATCCTCTGTGACAATGGCGGATCCTACTGTTTCCAATTCGGGTGTTTTTGATGAATCGGTATCAACTAGTTGACAGGATGAATATTTATTTCTAATATCGTAGAAGTATTGGAGAAAAAGAGATGAAGGGGTATTGTCCTTAGTATAAGTTGACATATATGTGTAACAATATGGAATTTGTATAGTCTAATAGTGTGTAACGTATACTGTAATAGAATGATAATGTGTGGACAATGCATAGGGTTAGGCTAGGTTGTTTGGGTTAGTTGATAGCTTGCTTGCGTATTGTAAACTGAGAGGTAATATTCTAATAGAAAGTGGAGATTCATTTGCTTCGAAATAAAGACTTTCAACTGGACTGGTTATGTAGGTTCCAGAGCTAGTCGTCTGGGGGGGAGGCACAAGCTCAACAGCTTAACCCATTAGGTACTAGTGTGCCATATATGATACACTAAAGAACGATCTTTTCATCGTGACTTACAGCGCTTAACGAGTGACCTTTAAAACCCTAGTAGATGTTTTTAGGTCTGTTAGTATGTAGTTTAGTTGCAGGCGAAAGCAAAATACATTTGACAATTATTTGTTGTTGTGATTATAAGCTGAGAGTTCGTCTTTGTTTTGACTACATACGAAATGTGTTCTAATAAAAGGTAAGTTATTTTTTTTACCAGTACGTATTAAAAGTTTTATATCTGTGTACAAATTTAGTTCATGTGATAAGTTGATAACATTTATGTATGTAAAAAAGGAGCATTAGATATACCCAGTGTTCATAAATTATGTGTTTTTGTCCATGTAACTTATATGGCACGCTAGTCTTTTACGGTACGCAATTGTTAAATCTACAAAAATGTTTTTATTTTTTTGTTACAGATTGACAGTCCAAGAGATTGCAGATCTCTTTGACTCAGAACAATTTTGGGAGGATTTTCACAATGAAATAGTTGATCGGGTTTATATAGAACCCCCGGAAAACCGAGAAGAATCAGACGAAGATTCCGGAGATGAATCTGGTAGTGGACTAGACAATTTATCAGGCAAACAACTTCAAGCGTCTGCAGAAATAGTATTCAATAGTGGAGAACGAATTGGTACTGACGATTATGGAAATACTGAAGATATTGCACATAAAGACTGTAATAAAGGTAATACCATACTCCATACTAAATCTGGTAAAAATAAAAAAAATTAAAAAATAGTAAACTGGTTGAAAAATCGTGACTTACCCGAGATTACAAACCAAAAGATATTTCCAATTTCAAATTTCTCGAAGTATGAAAATATGTCACCAGTAGACCTGTTCGAGCTTTTCATTACTGATGATATCATACAGTTACTTTGTGTTGAGGCTACTCGATACGCTCAATTTAAAAATTGTTCAGACCCAAAAATTACAACAGAAGAAATAAAATGATTTTTAGCAATTCTTATAGTTTCTGGTTATGATAAAAAGCCATCAAAAAAAAGTTACTGGGATTCTGGAGATGATATGCGAAACACAGCCGTTTATAATTCCACGCGCCGTGACAGATTTATTCAGATCATGAGATTCGTGCATTGTGCCGATAACACTCTTCTTGAACCCAACGACAAACTGACTAAACTCAGACCTCTTATAAATAAGATAAAAACTAACTTTCTGAGACATTACATTCCGGATCAAGAAATCGCCTATGATGAAAGCATGATCGAATACTTTAGAAAACACGGATGTAAGCAGTATATTCGAGGGAAACCCATCCGGTTTGGATATAAAGTCTGGTGTCCCAATTCCAAAAGCGGTTACCTTATCAATTTTGAGGTTTATCAGGGAAATATGCCAAATTCTAATCGAGAGCATCAAGAAAAATTTGGTAAAGCAACAGCTCCGTTATTGCAGCTTATTGAAGAAATGCCCGAGGAAACTAGATCATTGCCATACCATTTTTATTTTGATAACTTATTCACATCCATCGATATTCTTTATTATTTAAAAGAGAATGGTTATAAAGTAACAGGGACAGTTAGAGAAAATAGACTAACAAAGAATTGTCCACTCCGTACAGTAAAAGAGTTAAAAAAGACACCTAGAGGTACTTATGACTATGCTGTAACCACAGATCGACAAGTAATGGTGACACGCTGGATGGATAATTCTGTAGTTACTGTAGCATCAACTGTTCATGGAGTTTCTCCAGTATCGAATGCAAGCCGATAATCATCGACTGATAAAAAGAAAATAGGGATTCCTAGACCTAATTGTATTGGAAAATACAATGCTTTTATGGGGGGTACCGATCAAATTGCTGCGAATACAAATGTTTATAGAGTTGGAATTAGAGGCAAGAAATGGTGGTGGCTCATCTTTACTTGGCTACTAGACACATATATCCAAAATTCGTGGATAATAGAAAACATCACCCAGGTGCACCCCAACTGAATTTTCGAAGAGAAATAGCACAAGTGTATTTAAAAAGGTTTCAAAATCTACCTAAAGCTGCTGGACGACCAGCTACATATTCACCTGAAAGCAGGATTGCTGTCGATATTAGGTACGATCACAGTGATCACTATGTTGAATATGTTCCGAATGATAAAAGAAGACGTTGTGCCGGCAGTCACGCACAATCGAGCGCTGTGAGAACACAATGCGGCAAATGCAATGTAGGGCTGTGTATTCAGTGCTTTAGTGACTTTCACAAACAAAATTGAAGCTTTGTAAGCGATTTTCATATTTTCATAATTTTCGTAAACTTAACAATAAAAATACATCTTTCCAAATATTTGTTTACTTTAGTAGTATAGGGGACTACTGTGTCATATATGGCACATGCTGTAATATTGTTATTACCAGACGGGTATTTAAAATATTAGTTATATACAATATTTGGACACCCCTATTATAGAAAATATGAAAAATTACAGCAAATTCCAAAATTATAAAATTCAGTACTTAATGGGTTAACTAAAAGCACCAAAATAGATAAGAAACAAACAAATAAACATATTAAAACATATAAACGCGTTTCTGATAGAGTAGCTTATATTATAATAGACCTAGATAATAAAACCAAGATCAAGGTTATACAAATGTATGCTCTCATAACAACATATCAGGAAGAGGCAGTTAAAATGTTCTACGAAGATTTGATAATTGCATTAGAAGAAAATTATACAAAACATACCATCATTATGGGAGATTTCAACGCCAAATTAGGTAAAAAAGAAGAAAATACTGAAACCAAAATAGCGATGCATGGTTATGGCACACGAAATAAAAGAGGAGAAAAATTACATATATAACTTCTTAGAACAACAAAATTTATATGCCATGAACACACACTTCAAGAATCCAGCAAGCCGAAAATGGACGTGGATATCGCCCGATAAAAAGACAAAAACGAGATCGATTGAAAGAATTGAATAAACAAATAAAGAAGGTTAACAATTATCTTAACATGTTAAACTTGAGTCTTCAAGGAAGAAACCAGCAAACCGAAATTTGTTTCGAATTGCTGGAAACTTCGAAATGAAGTTTCAGATTTGATCGGAATAATAAACGGAATCCGGAATAAGCTGATCGTGTTTAAACGTGCTTTGGAAAAGAACAGCCTGACACACTTCCCTAGCTATCTGCAAATAGCAGAAGAATTCAACGGTGAGGAAAATATTGAGTTTTCATCCTGCAAATTCAACAAGTCATTGATGAATTCAATACAAGATTTGAAGAAATTGAAAGTCTCAAAAGCAGTATACTGCTTTATAATAACCCTCTTGGAGCAACCATTGATGATCAACCATCAAACTTACAGCTTGAGTTATGTGATTTTCAAGCAGACATGTTCCTAATCACCGGACAAAAAAAGGGACCTAAATTTTTCAAATTACTGTCAAAGGAGAAATTCCCGAACCTGCGAGATTTTGGACTGAAAATGACTTCAATATTCGGAAGCACATATACATGTGAAAGTGCCTTTTCCTTCATGAAATACATAAAAAATAAAAACAGAAGCAACCTTACCGATTCTTCCTTACGTCATCTTATGAGAGTGTCGACAACTGAACTGGAGGTGGATATTTCTTCATTGGTGGATGAAGCCGATCGACCACAGTCCTCACATTAATTGGATACATCTTTTTCGTTGCTTTTGCAATGTTTTTCTTGATTATTGAAAAGTGTTATCAATAAATTTTCCATTTATAAAAAAAATGTAGTTGTAGCAATAAAAGAAATAATACTCTTTTTTGTTTTAATTATTTTTATACCTCACTTTATTTTGTTATTACTTATAACTGGAAGAACTATGTAGAAGAATTGTTCGACGATGAAAGACAAGAACCTAATATAGATAACTTGCAAGGCGACGAAGGACCAGAAATAACTAAAGAAGAACTATTATACGCTATAAAAATAATGAAAAATGGTAAATCACCGGGTCCAGACGGGCTCACATCAGAACTTCTTAAGCTTGTGGAAGGCGAATCAGTGAATATTCTACTCGACCTTTTTAACTGCATCTACAAAAGAGGAGAAATACCAAAGGAATGGCTACTTTCAACTTTTGTAACCTTACCAAAAAAGGCAAATGCAAAACAGTGCACGGACTACCGCACTATAAGCTTAATGGGACATACATTAAAAGTATTCATCAAAGTAATCCACTCAAGAATTAACAGAAAACTAGATGCAGATATTAGTAATACTCAATTCGGATTTCGGAACGGGCTTGGAACAAGAGAAGCACTATTTGCACTTAACGTCATATGCCAAAGATGTCTAGATATAAACCAAGATATATATATATATGTGCTTCATTGATTACAACAAAGCGTTTGATAAAGTTCGTCACGATCACTTAATGAAACTGCTAGTAGAAAAAAACTTGGATAAAAGGGACATTAGAATTATCTCTAAGATTTACTATAACCAGAAAGCAAATATCCGAATAGAGCAAGAGACAACGGAGGAAATCGAGATCAAGAAAGGCGTAAGACAGGGTTGTATACTCTCACCGACCTTATTCAATCTATACTCCGAAGACATTATAAACACAGCACTTTCGGATCAAAATATAGGTATTAAGATAAATGGCATCCGAATAAACAACTTGAGATATGCCGATGACACGGTACTAATCGCAGAAACTTGGGAAGATCTTCAAATACTAATTAACAAAATAGTAGAATGCAGTGAAGAACACGGATTATCACTTAACATAAGCAAAACAAAAATAATGCTAATATCTAAATCACCACAAAACTTCCCTGACATAACCGTGCATGATCAAAGAATCGAACGTGTAAGAAGATATAATTACCTGGGAACTGTTATCAACGAAAATAATGATTGCTCTGAAGAAATCAGAACCAGAATAGAGAAAGCTAGAGCCACATTTACTAAATTGAAAAAGGTGTTCTGCGGAAGAGATCTAAGTCTAAAACTTAAAATTCGCCTTTTGAGATGTTACGTTATGTCAGTTCTCCTCTACGGGATGGAAACATGGACATTGAAAAAGATCGATACCAAAAAGATAGAAGCATTTGAGTTGTGGATGTATCGTAGAATATTAAGGATACCCTGGACAGAGAAAGTAACAAATGTGGAGGTTTTGCGAAGAGTGCGGAAAGAGAAAGAGCTGATACTTACTGTTAAAAAGCGCAAACTACAATATTTGGGACATGTTATGAGGGGAGATAAATACCAGTTGCTGCAATTGATTATACAGGGAAAGATAATGGGAAAGAGATCTATAGGAAGAAGAAGGCATTCATGGTTGAAAAACTTGAGAGAATGGTACAATTGCACCAATTACCAACTGTTTAGATCTGCAACATCAAAAATACGCATAGCTTTGATGATAGCCAAACTTCGGAACGAAGACGGCACTTGAAGAAGAAGATAACAAAATTATTATATGGCCGCGACAACATCAAAGGTTTTAGTTTTTGCCCTTGAGGCATTGCAAGTTGGACACCCCTGTTGTAGATCCTTGGGATATGCCATTTTCTTGTGTAAGTATAGTATTCTGAAAGTTCCTAATTTGATTTAACTCGAAAATTTCTGTCATCTAGAA